CGGCAAAAGAAGGACTCCAACAAGGGAGCTGTGACAGTCGCGAAAACACTCATTTCCGCTGCGGCTGCTTCCACGCTCCATAGTCCCAAAACAAACAATTCGCGGAAACCGTCTTTTTTTTAGCCTTTTTTCTTTGAAAGAAACTTCGGTAAACCATATATTTTCGTCGAAATTAGAATTTTGTCATTTTTACGATCCTGAATGTCAGGTGAAATCTTCAGTTGTCATTATTCAACTCACTACCGAACGTATATATTTTCCCACTCAATGGAAGGAGCTACGTTGGCGCATTCAGCGTAACGTGCGTCTCACACATACGACATTTAACGGAGATTCTTTTGTATGCTCAATGCTGCAACGGACTTCTGTAAAGTAGTGAACAATTTCAGTTTTTATAATTTTGTTAGTGCCATCTCTGACTGAAACCTGGTTAAATGCCTCCTGCACCAATCAGTCATACTTCTCAAATCAGTATTCCGTTTTCAGGAAGGACCGGAGTTACACAGAGAAGATTAAAAATTCAGGCGGTGTCCTCATAGCGTGTAAATCTTCATTTCGGGCGGTCAGGAGGGGAGACCTTGAAACGTATGAAGAGTGTGTCTGGGTTGAGGTTCCAGCGTGTGATGGCTTGAATTGCCTTCTTGGCTGTTACTACTTCCCGCCTAATTCTGATACTGGCGTTTTTGTAGAGCATTTCACAGATCTTGACAGCAAGGTTGACTTTTCTAAATACAAGGTACATATTTATGGCGACTTAAATCTTCCGAAGGTCGATCGGTCAGCTGACTTAATCGAGAGTGACTGTACTGGCATTCATGATAAGGCACAACGCCTATTTGAGTTTATCAATTTCAATAAACTCTTTCAGCTTAATACGATAAAAAAATGTGTCCGGAAACATTTTAGATTTGAGAATAACAAATGCTCCTGTGTTCGATATCGATCAGGCATGCGACACGCTTGTGCCAGTCGACAAGTTCCACACACCGTTTTCCCTACATTTTTTCCTGTCATTCCAAGTGCACAACACACAACCAGTGGCGAAGTTCAGATATGCTTATGGTGATTACGAGGGGTTATACGGTCGTCTGCTCAGCCATGACTGGTCTGGCTTCTTCAGCATTACGAACGTCGACTCTTGCGCCGACATGCTGACAGCGATTGTCCAGGATGCTATGAATGAATTTATACCCAAAAGTTGCCCAAAAAGGTCAAATTTCCCTAATTGGTTTTCAGCAGATTTGAAATATTACATAAGCAAGAAGCGACGTTATCATAATCTCTATAAGAAACTAAATTTCGAGTATTGGTACTACAGATTCTCAATCTGTAGAGCAATAGTTAAAAAACTTCTTGCTCGAGACGAAAAGCTTTACCAGGATCGCCTGGAACATGACTTCAAAGGACAACCGCATCGTTTTTGGCGTTACGTGCGAACAAGTAAAGACAATGTCAGCGCATCGGTGCTAAAAGCGGACGGCAAGCTTTGTTGCACACCGCAAGAAGTATCCGGGATGTTCGCTCGGCATTTCAGTTCCACTTTTCTGCAGTCGGATAGCACGCCTCCGGTTTTTAACATCGAAGAAAGTTTTGATGGTTTAGCTTGTGAAAGTATAACAGAAGATGAGGTATTACTTTCTGTACGTAGGCTCAAGTCAAAACTTTCCACAGGCTGTGATGGTATTCCAAATTGTATTATCAAGGGATGGGCTGAATACCTTGTTCACGCTTTTACTCATGTGTACAATTTGTCGCTACGGCGCGCGAAGTTTCCTTCTCGATGGAAAATGTCTGTGGTCGTACCAATATTCAAATCTGGCGACCCCTGCGATGTCAACAACTTTCGCCCAGTGTCACTGTTGTGTGGTTTTTCAAGTTTTCGAAATGGTTATTTATGAACGTCTCTATTTTTATTTTAAACGAAAAATATCACCATTACAGCACGACTTCCTGAAAGGTAGATCGATCGAGACTTATATGAGTGTCTTCCTTGGATATACCGGCGCTTTAGTAGCCAACCGTGGTCAAGTAGACACTATTTATTTTGACATGTCAAAGGCTTTCGACAGGGTTTCGCACAACATACTTTTGTCAAAATTAAAAAAAAAAAAAATGTCTTATGCCCTACTTACTTTTCATGGTTTTCCAGCTACCTGGGAAACCGCCAGAATCAAGTCAGTTTCTCAGATTGTTTGTCCGGGCCGTTTTTATCATTATCTGGTTTGCCCCAGGGCTCTAACCTTGGGCCGTTGTTATTTTTAGTGTTCATCAACGACTTGCCGTCGCACATGCTGCACTCCAAAGCATTATTGTACGCAGATGACTTGAAGCTGTTCAGGAAGGTAGAGAATGTACAGGATTGTCTGTTGTTACAAAACGACGTATGTTCAATTGAGCAGTGGTGCATAACAAATAGACTACAACTTAATCTCAAGAAGACTTCAGTCATGTCAATCAGCAGAAAACACGAGAGCATAGTGTTCAGCTACAACCTTTCCGGAGGGCACATAAAGCGTGCATCTCTTGTACGGGATCTTGGTGTTCAAGTGGACTCCAGGCTATTTTTTCATCAACATGTGTCACAGATAGTTAATCAAGGCCTGCGATGTCTTGGTGCGGTGTCACGGATAACTGGAAAATTTAGAAGTCCTCATTGTGTTCTCTCTTTATATTTTTCACTTGTCCGGCCGCGTTTAGAGTTCGCATCCGTAATATGGAACTCTGTTTCTCTTGGCTACAGCAATGTAATCAAACAGGTACAGCGGAAATTTATTTGTATTGTATACGATAGGCACATTGGTCGTCGGCGTTTTTACAGCTATAGCTCGGTATTAGCAGACATAGGCCTCCAGTCTCTTGACGACAGGAGGCTTGCACATGATATGAACTTTTTGAGAAAAGTTGTGCATGGCACTCTTGATTGCGACGAGTTGTTGTCATCATTATGCTTCCGTGTCCCATCTGGGAAGGCGTGTAAATGTATTCACACATTTTATACATATATTCATTCAAAATGTCCAATGACTCGGTTACAAGATACATACAATTCGATGTTTTTACAAGATGACATATTCACTTGACTTTATCTTAGTGTGCCCGGGGCAACCACTTTTATTTTTAACTAACTAGGATTTGATGACGCGTCAGACTGATTTCTATTGTGCTCCTCGGCAACCACACTGTCCTATGTAATACCCTTTTTATTGTTAACGCCACTGTGCGAATTATGACAAAGTGTACTGTCCTGTAGGCCTCACGGCTGTTGACCGGCACTAAATAATCCATCCATCCGTCCGTCCGTCCGTCCGTCCGTCCGTCCATCCATCCATCCCACCGTAGGGAAGGCGTTGGAATTCAAAACGACCCAAGCTAGTGTTAACTGTCAAAAATGGTCTGGACTCTGGAGTGAGTGGCACTTGCTGATACGCCGCAGAGAGGTCAAGTACGCAAAAAACCTTGCCTCCTGCGAGGACAGAATACAGGTCCTCCGGCCTGGGCAGCGGATAGTGATCGGTTTTTTCAAAACTGGGTTTATCGTTACCTTGTAGTCTCCACAGAGTCTGAGACTACCGTCTTTTTTTGGGACAACGACAAGTGGTGTTGCCCAGTCACTGCGCGCTACTTGTCGAAGCATGCCCGTTTCTACCATGCTGCGCAGCTGGGTTTCTACCTGCTCTCGTAAAGCAAAGGGAACAGGTCTAGCACGGCTAAACACAGGGACCGAACCAGACTTCAGCAAGATCGTCGCTTCGAACTTCTGTATGGTGCCCAGTGTTTTTGAGAACACGGAAGGGTATTTCCTTTGCAGTGCTTGAGCCCTATCTTTCGTTGTGACTTGCGAATCTCATGCCAGTCCAGCCTTAAACGCTGAAGCCAGTTCCGTCCAAGCAGTACTGGAAGCCCCCTTCCATTGTCTTTGACAATTACTACGGGCAACGTCATACTTTGACCCTTGTACACAACAGCGACATCACACTGTCCTTTGAACTGCAGATGTTCTCCAGTGTACGTGCGAAGTGACATTTTATCCGGACCACATTTTACATGAGGAAAAGCAGAGTCGTACACGCTCTCAGGAACAATTGTGACTGCCGCCCCTGTGTCAATTTGCATGATTAAGGGTTTCCCTTCAACTTGCACACTGATTTCATAACACGATTGAGTCGTATTTATAAAATGGTACACGTCATAATCAGTGTCTTCGTCAGAACATTCCAGAGCATTCGTGTTCTTCGGCACCTTTGCGTTTGGACACATTTTTTGCAAATGTCCTACTCTCGAGCACTTGCGGCAGACAAAGCTCTTGTACCAACAAACATTTGATGCATGACTCCTACAACATCTTTCACACCTTTCCTTTTTAGGGGCCCTTGAATATCTTTAGGTTTCGAGCCCTTTGGTCGTCCCTTTGGTCGACTCTTTATAGCATTTAACGATGCCTCTTTATCTCTCGATTGCATGAGTGCAGTGTCTCGAGCCGCCAGTTCTCGATCGAGCGCAATCTTGCAAGCGCCTTGAAACGTTAAGTTTTCCTCGGCAAACATGGCACGCTGGCTCTCTTCATTACGTATGCCTGCTACTAGCCTGTCCCGAAGGGCGTCTTGCAAGAAGTTGCCAAAGTCGCATTTCCTAGCCAAGTGTTTCAGTTCAACTATGAGGTCTTCTACGCTTTCATGTTCGGCCTAAACACGTCTATTGAACTTACAGCGCTCCGCTATAACGGAACTCTTAGGGCTGTAATGTTCTATTAACAACCGTTTAACAACTGCATACGACTTCTCGCCAGGGGACGCCGGCACGACTAGACTCTTTAGCACTTCATAAGCCTCAGGGCCTATCACTGTCAGAAATACGGGAAGCACGTTCTCGTCTTTTATGTCGTTTGCCACTAAAAAATGTTCAAATCGTTCCAAATACGATTCAATGTTCTGTGGCTTAGGGTCAAACTCCGATATTCTTCCCAAGCGTGACATTTCGGAACCCCAAAAGAAACACTTTACTCATCCGCTCGACGTTCCCTTGCGTAGCAGGTTGTCCCCGTTGCTGTTCAAGTCGAGTTCCCGAAGCGAGATCTCGGGGGCGTTGCTCGTTGCCCTCTGTCGGTACACGAAGGCGGTGGCCGGGAATATGTAGCGTCGCTGGCAGGCTTCAACGCATGACAAGCTGCGCTTGCTCTTCCGTGGCCGTGCGTTCATTCGCGTCGCACGCCTCGCTGTCGCTTTCCGTTGCCTACGAGGGCACGTAGACAGCCTCGTCGCCAAATGAAGTGACTGTAGACCATGGCATGCTGGCGAACAAGAAGTGCTTTATTCCTGAGCGCAGCGTTTTTATCACATATATGACGTCACGAGCCGGGCTGCGCTTCCGCGATGACTCAGTCGCGATAACTCAATCCGCACGTCACAACAATTATGTGCCCAATATTATTATAAAAAGGAGCATCCCAAGTGTTAGGGTACCTTCCAGAATCCCCGCAGAAACCTAAAAGCAAAGTTTGTATTTAGGTTATGGCATGTTATTATTTCTGTTTGGAAATGATTGAACGTTGAATCGTTAAACCGCAAAAACAAAACGGAAGAAAAGATGCGCTAAATCCACTCACTACTTTCGAGACTTTTCTACGTGCAGCAACTTCATCGGTGTCCGTTGCGTGGCTATCTACACTCTGTCCCCATCGTCCATGCTGGGCATGACGGCTTCGTGCGAGAGCGTTCAATACACTGAGCCTCGTTGGCGCGAGAATGCAGTAAGCCTCGTAATACCGCATTCGCGTTTTTGTAAACGTTTTTCCTCGCAAACATTTAGTTCACAGCATGCCTAGTAAATGAATTCCCTATCAAACAAAGTGCTTTTTGGGCACATCCTCTGCCACTTAGATTGTAAACATGATCTACTTGACAAACAAAGCGCATGAACAAGTTGTTTCACCAACGGAAAATAAAACAATTTAAAACGAAACTGTGGTTTCAAGAACATACCTGAGTCTATAAGAAGGTGTCTTCGTTACCTTTCCAGTATCCTTGGACAATTGTTGAGGCTGATTATTACCGACTGAACAACATGTTATCGAGCCACACCGCTGTCAGCTTTCCCCACCGAATGTAATTTATGCATGCGCGACGACGTGAGATAATTGGCGCCTTTTCTACGCCACTGCTGGAACATCCCGAATATAGTAAGGTTCTTTTCACCACCAAAAGATGTTATGAGAAGCACCATCAGCATTTTTGCGTTTTGATTGCCTATCGACAAATTCTGATGGTCTCACCCGGGCAACATCAAAACGTTTCGATGGTACATCAGTCACCACAAAAAAACATTTTGAAGCTCTCTGATCTACAAACAGAAGCCTTTAATGGTCTATCAGGCACCACCAGGAAATCAATGTTTGATGGTCTAAGAAGCATCACCAAGTAAGCCTGTCGGACCATCGACAGTTAACTTGATGGTATGAGGGCGATTATAAATACCGTGTTAATATATATATCCGATCGGTTTAAGCCTACTTGCGGTCGAGTCAAGAGGAATATACACTCGCTCAGAACCCCTATATCCACGCGCGCCTACGACTGATCGAATATTGTCGTCACATATAAGAGCGGCTACAGAATATGATTTGCGGAAGTACCAGACTATACCCAGTCAACGTGCTTTGATGGTACAAAGCCCTCTTGATGGTCCATCGCCCGATGGTATGACGGGCCATCAGGTGCCGTTGTGAACTTCCGGCGGACCATCCAACGTTTTTGATGGTTCACCAGGGAAGTCTGATGTACCATTAGTTGCCATTGGAGACCCTGACGGACCATCAAAACGCTTTTGATGACCTATCAGGGAAGTCTGGTGGACATTCAGGTGCTATTGGAGCTCCTGACGGGCCATTAAAGGGATACTGAACCGAAATTTCGAACTCACAAAACAAGGCTGCACAGATAGGCGGGACGATGCAAAACCCAAAAACATCACTCATACAGCGATATCTCTAACGGATCGCCATATTTTTAGAAACGAAGCGCCCGACTGAACCCGGCCGACGAGGCCGACAAGGCAAAGGACGTCACGATTCTTATTCCCCTCCTCCTCACTACGTCCCGTGTCGATCTGGTGAACCGAAGCGAGGAGGAGAGGAGCGAGGCCGCTCCCCCTCATTCTCAAATTCTCCCGGAGGACAGTGATGTCAGAGGCCTCGCTTGATCGCGCCCTTCTTTTCGAAAAGTGCAGCCATCCGTTTGAGATATCGATGTACGAGCAATGTTTCGGAGTTCGTAGAGTCACGTTCAACGCTTCTAGAGCCTTATTTTGCGAAATTCAAATTTCGGTTCAGTATCCCTTTAAGACGCTTTTGATCCATCACACGCCATAAAGGAAGTCTGATGGACCATCAAATTCCCTATGATGGTCTATTTGAAGGGTCTGATGGACCATCAGGCGTCATCAAGGAGGTCTAGAGGGCCATTAAAGAAGCCTGATGGGCCATCAGAAAAGTTTGATGGTCCGTCAGATGTTTTTATGGTCTTTTCGACCGAGAAGTAACGTCCGTACGTCACCCGTTACAGTTCTAAAGAAGTAACGAGTACGTTACTATGTTACCAAAAAAAGTAGCGGGTTACAGGACATATGAACACACCCTTATTTAAAAAAGAGTGAACAGACATTTCACAAAAAAAAAAAAAACACATTGTCAATTAGAACTGACAAAATATGTTTATGATTCCAAAACACATTTAAATGCGCCCGAGGCAGTTTGGGCAAGCTCAAAACGAATATTATAATATAACTAAATCCGCAAAGACGGAGCAGCAGATACCAAACTTGTTTGAACTGATTTCAATTTTAATCAGTGTTCAAGTCTCAAGACAAAATCATGTTGCAGGGCTGAGGACAAATTTTCTTCAAAAGTTTCTTGGCATTTTTACATTCGAAATCCACGTCATATATCTTGTTCGCCAGAGTATTGTTTTCGCTTGTAAGAACTGAAACATGAAATGTTTGCAGAATCGATGCTTGGGCGAGTTGGGTATTCATAATGTAGGAAATATCGCAAAAGTAAACTCACTCACACTGAAAATACACGCACACCAGAAAAAGGATCACTCACGTCGCGGTAACTTACAACTCAGTTTGCCTTTTCGTCACCTTCCTTTTTTTTACCCCTAGTTTTAAGACATCTAAAGTCCCATTTGGGTAGCAACGTATTTTGCTGTTTTACACCAAGAAACATAAACTGTTTGGTTCATTCTACAATAGCACTGTAGACCGCCTTCCTGTTAAGTTTTTTTTTTACTGCAGTGATCATCAAATATATTAATTTATGTTCAAGTATTTTGTTTTCGAGTATAAAATGGTAGTTTACATTATCCTTATCCTCTTTCTCTACAAAAAATTACAAGCATCAAGTTAAAAAATGTAAACCGGAGCCTTTTAGAGGGATAATAAACTCTGTGTAATTCATGTGGAAAGAATGTTAATTCTTGAAGTTTTGTACATATCTAGTAAGCAATTCTTTCATGTAAAATATGTTACCAGCAAGATGAAATACCGGTTTTAACACGTTAAATTACATGAGAAATTATCTACCCAGGAAGCATAGAGCTTTGGGCAAACATTTGACAATGATCTGGGAGTTTTGGGCCTTGATAACCCCGAATAAGCCAAAGTAGAGCTAAATCTCACCTTTGGCGAACGTCTGTGTATTTTGGCCCTATTTCGACAAAGATGTGCAAGAGTTAAGCTTTACTTCCTGGTAGTTCGGCTGCCATCTGGTCTTATTGAGCCAAAATCGCCAAACGAGGACCAGAGTTGGGTTTACTAGCAGGCAGTTCGGCTGCCATCTAGTATCTTTGGGCCTACATTGTGAAATAAGTGCCAGAACAAAAATAAAGTGAAGACGTTCTCTGAACAAGCATAGGTATGCCGGACAATGCCAATTCGAAGCGCTCTTTGATCTTGTCTAACCCCATTTGTAGTCCTAAATTCCTTATGATTCTTGGGTCTGTGAGGAAGCTGCAAAGGGGAGAGGGGGGTTCCTTATTTGCGGTCGTGCTTGGGGCCAAATAAAACTGCCCAGCGGGCCGAATGCGGCCCGGGCTGTGGGTTTCCGACCCCTGCTCTAGAAGAGTATAGACGATAAACCCGTCATCGAATCATCGGAATTCGTACAAAAGTAGCTTTCCCTTCTCTCTCTTCAGTTGTGGTGCGAAATGGAAAAGGATAAGCCAGTGCAAGGCATGCATACCTACCGTATATCAAGAGGTGGTGCAAAACTGGACATTTGGCCGATATTGGAGCCGATTTTCGGCCGGTACTGGCACGAAACTGCCAAGTATCACCGTGCTGGTTGGGAACGGAGATGATGACGTCGGACCATAAGAACGATAATTTAATTTAATTTTTTTCTGGACTGCGCGGAAGAGCATTCTTGTGGCACACCACAGAAATCCGAAATCCCCAAATTTGGTGTCACTTTTTCCGTTATGACTCAAGTATGGCACTTATTTTGGCGCTCCAGTGGCGATCCAGAGAAAAGCCAAACGGTAAAACGTCTGGATTCCCCAAATCAGGTTTTACTTTGGCAGTTATGGCTCCAGTGTGGCACCGGCACTCACGTAGCGAACCAGAAAAAAGCCAAAATTTGGCACGTCCGAAATACCCAAATGAGGTTTTACTTTGTCAGAAATGGCTCAAGTACGGCACTCACTTTGGCACTCCTGTGCCTAGCCTTGAAAAGCAAAACTTTGGCACGTCCGGAATCTTGAAATTAGGTTTACTTTGGCATTTATGGCTCAAGTATGGCACTTACTTTGGCACTCCTGCGGCAAACCAGAGAAAGCCAAACATTGACATGCCCTAGGATCGCTCAACTAGGGCTATAGATGGATAGCGTACTTGGACACTGAAAAGCGCCATGAAGCAAAACCTAACTGGGTTAAAGTTAAGCCCTAGTGTTTTCCACACTTTCGCCCAAGTTCGGAGTTTCTCTAGCGTGTTATCTGGGTAGTAACCCCAGATGAAAACAACTACACTCGTGTCTCCTTAGAATATACCGCGTTAAAATAGATACTCTGCTATAAAGACACCATTTCGGGGAACGAACTGAGTAAATCCATGTATTTTTGTATTCCTGCTATAGGCGGCTCACAGTATGCATGACATTTAAGGGAACGGAAGCTGACATATTAACGATACATGGCTGCATTACAATATTCTGGACTAGCCCTCATTTGAACGCTCAGGTGAGGTGGTAGGGCAAACAACCGGAAATGGCTAAATGACACATGTGAAACAAAGCCCTGGTACATAAATCTTATCTTGATATGTTGTGAAAAGCTGGTGACAATTGTTGTCACTTTCCGGTGTTACTTTAAATTCTATCTATTATACTTAAGCTCTTTCGCGTAAAATTAACTTCACCGCTTTGACGTCAAGCCAGTATATATACTTGATCCCGTTATTTGAAAAAAAGTGTGCACTTTACCGTATGCGTCACTTACCGATCTTTTCATGAAGTACCTTGCCTACGAAAGGCAGCAAAACAGTCAACTCTTCCTGAACAGCTGGAATAGAACAAAAATGGGGAATGAAAAATTAGACAAAACTCACGTTCTTTTAATGATATGAAATGAAATGAATTGTTTATTTCCAGAAAATTACTCTGGCTGGCCTCCATACAAAAAGCTATCATGAGGTATGTTGACTCTGTCAGGGGCCCTAACGCAAAACAAGTCCAGCAATTTGGCAGAAATATAAAAATAAAAATGTAGGATATAGAAACAGATTCACAACTTTTGTTACACAATAATTATAGACGATCGCCTACCAACGTTGGCGTGCACCCAGAAACAGTAAAAGCACAACAAAGTGGAAACGTTGTACAGCATCTAGTACAGCATCTAGTACAAAATGAAAACCAAGAAGCACAGAACGCACCCATACACAGAAATTCCGTTTAAATAAATCGGATGTGCAACTCAGCTTTTGTCAGCGAATATATATTTGTTCTTGAGATGACATCTATTTATTAGTTAAGGCAAGGTATGATGGAGTGATTGCAAAGCACGGTTCAAGCGGAAATGCAGAGCACACCATACTTTAAAGTGACGTGTACTGATTGCATTTTTTTAAATTATTATTTGATGTGCGCCAGATATGCTCGATGAACTCGGGTCTTGAGAAAAGGAATGTGTAGAAAAGATGATACTCGTACATATTTATAATGGTAAAAATCCTAAATTTCTCGAAAAGTGACTTAGTGCGACAAAGGTACATCGGCAATGATACGCAGCAGGTCATGATATAATTATTGTTTCTTAATTGGCATTTATTCAAACGAGCCCTTTATTCGTTCCTTTCTGTGAAACATATTATGGGATTAGGCACATCTTTTGTGACTAGAACAGACATATCCTTGGTGACCTATTTTGATCAAGGCCATTTCAAAAGTGTGTTAAGGAATCCACATTGCGTTCTATATTATCTATTGCTGTAGCTATATTATTTCGCGGAAGAAAATATTGATATTTTATAGTATTTTGAAGGTAGCTTCCTGCTGGGCGGTGATTAATTTAGTGTTTATAAATCACGTTTCGAATAATCTTGTTTTGTATCTACCAAAATATCATTAGAACTGCCAACTTAATCTATAACAGTCCATATTGCCACAGGTGGTGACCAAAAGAAAAATAAATAAACAGGAATATATAAACCTTTATTAGCGCGAACGTCTTCCCAAGACAAAACGGGAATAGAAGATAACAACAGAGCGTCGCGGGCGTCGAAGTCAGCTTAACGGGAGGATCGAAAGCTTGGCCAGACTGACCCCGGCTCACCACGCGGAGCACCTTTTGTACCGGCGTGGTTTTCTGAAACCTTCGGCCTAGAACATTCGGCGCGTAGAACATTTGCAACTAGATGAAGCGAGAAAGTTCTCGAACTTGCGAGAACGACAAGTAGAAAAAATAAATGAATTAACATTTCGCTACCTAAAATAGCACCCAGATCCTCCGGGCCACAGTCAAGCACGGTAACCACTCGGCCAGCTCGATCTGCGACGCGCGTTGCATTACTCCCACTTTTAAAAAGAGCATCGTCTCGATGCACGGAAACAAAACAAACAAAACCAACCAAAAGAAGGGGAAGGTACGGAGGCTTCTAAAACCCTTTCCTGTTGAGCGTAGTACGAGATTATAATAATAATAATAAGTTTATTTCGACATGCATATGTCTGGGAGGCTGCGGCAAAAGAAGACACGAAGTCCTCTGACGTGGCCACCAGCCCCCGTTACAGCACTCGGCACGTACCTCTAACGATACCTAAAAAAAATTAACATCAATTACCTGATTCACATCAAAATAAGTTTACAGATGAAAACATTTGAAGAGTCACAAAGTTGAGTGAAAAAGAACAAACACTGTTACATATAATATAATTGATCATATTTTCACATTTGAACTAATGGCACAAGTGGCAGGTGCATATTGTTCGATTGAAAGAAAATATAATTTGATCATTTTCCTAAACATCTGGAGATTGCTACAGTTGCGTATCGTTTCAACTATATTTGCGTGATTATTTAGTAAGTCAGCAATTCTATAATGAAGTGTTTGAGTACCATAGTTTGTTCCAACGTTTTGTTTGATGTAAAGGGTGTGTCAAAAAGTATAATCGGCAGGCTTATGAAGGTAGGCGTTGAAGAAAGAGGTCTCATCCCGCTTTATCTCGTCAAATATAATGTTCGCTAATTTAATAGAAAAAAAAAACATGTTCGATGGGTAATAGCTTGTATTTTTCGAGATTACAGTTCACAGCCTTGTCAAGCGCAGTAGGGTTTGAGGCGCACGACGTGGAGGACTTCAGGTTGCGGTGGGCGGCGGGATGATATTCTTGTTCCGTCGGGTATCACCTCGTAGTTCAGGTCTCCGAGTCGACGAAGCACCTGTAGGGTCCGAATTGCCGTCTTAACAGCTTCTCGCTGAGACCGCGGCGGCGAATAGGTGTTCATACCCATAGTCTACCTCCGGGCTAAAAGTGGGCGTCGCGACGGCGAAGGTTGTAGCGGCCAGCGTCGACACGTTGCTGGTCTTAGATCCGGACTCGGGCGAGCTGGCGGACTTCCTCTGCTCGTTGCGCAACCAGATGGGCGTTGTCCTTTCTGTCGCCAGCCGGCTCGTGAGGCAGCATGGCGTCAAGCATCGTGGTCACCTTGCGACCATGAACCAGCTGAAATGGTCTAACAGCAGTAGTCTCTTGAACCGCTGTGGTGTAGGCGGACCTGACATACGGCAGGACATGGTCCCACGTCTTGTGTTCTACGTCGACGTACATCGATACCACGTCAGCGATGGTCTTGTTTAGGTGTTCCGTCAGACGATTCGTCTGAGGATGGTACCCTTGGGTCCGCCCGTGGTTGGTGTGACTGAGATGGAGGATCTCTTGCATCAGCTCTGCCATGAACGACGATCCGCTATCTCTAGTGAGAACTTCAAGAGCGCCGTGCCGGAGGACGATGGACTACATGAAAAACTTAGCGACTTCCGTAGCAGTCCTAAAAGGAACGGCTTTCGTTTCGGCGTACCGCGTGAGATAATCTGTGGCGACGACTCTCCAGCGGTTTACAAACGTTGACGGCGGGGAAGGGCCAAGCAGATCCCCTCCAATCTGCTAAAACGGTGCAGATGTTAGAGAAATTGGCTGCAGGAGACCTGCCGGCTTCGTCGCCGGTTTCTTACGTCGCTGGCACTCGTGACACGATCGTGTGTATAGGTGGACAGTTTTGGGGAGCTTGGGCCAGTAATATGTTTCACGATTACGGGCCAGTGTCCGACTGTAACCAAGGTGCCCGGACGTCGGGTCGTCGTAGTAGGCTTAAAAGATCTCCCCTCGAAGGTCGGCCGCGATTAGCAGCAACCACGGCGAGTTGTTGTCTTCGAAGTTCCCTTTATAGAGTACATCTTATCGAATGGCGAAGGTTTGCAGGGCTCGTGAGAGAGCACGTAATCGCAGCCGCTGCTGCTGGGCGGTGTCTCGACAGGGGCTCTGGACAGGCAGTTGGCTTTGCTGTGCTTGCGGCCTGACTTGCAGACCACAGTCTTGTTGAACTGCTGTAGTCGGAGACTCCATCGAGCGAGGCGTCCTGAAGGGCCCTTGGTGTTCGCAAGCCAGTGAAGTGAGTGGTGGTCCGTGACTACGCGGAACGGACTCCCGTACAAGTACGACCGAAACTTCGTGAAAGGACAATAAATAAACATTTAATGGGGATAACTTGTGCCCAATACAAAAAGGGAATAGAAGATAACAACAGAGCGTCGCGGGCGTCGAAGCCGGCGTAACAGCAGGATAAAAAAATGGGCGAGAGTGACCCCCGTTCGCCACGCACAATTTGTACCGGCATGGGTTTCTGGAACATTCGGCCGAAAACGTTCTGCACGTAGAACATTCGTAACTCGACGAGACGAGAAAGGTCTCAATGTTTCGAGAACGACAAGTAGAAAGAATAAATAAAAGAACATTCCGCTACCTGGAATCAAACCCAGATCTTTCGGGCGACAGTCAAGCACGGTAACCATTCGGCCAAGTCTGCGTTTGATCTGCGACGCGCATGGCACTATTATATTATTGTCTTCTTACCATACTATGCGCGTTTAGAAAATACATAGCGAAGTCATTTATTTCCTAATTTCGCATGTCTCTACCTGTTTGGGGAGCTATATATCTGTTTTCACTTACTTGAAGTGTTGATGTTCCCGACACCAGTGACTGCATCATAATGTGTCCTAATTGTGTCCCTGGGAAAAAAGTGGGTATTACTAGGCTAAGCACACCAAAGTAAACAAAAATTTATAACATAACAGTATACCCAAATTCTTGAACGTTTCATTTTAAACGAAATAAATAATATTTATTAGCGCGTTGACATGAAGACGAACAGAAATTTTAAGGAATTTTTCATATATTTATTATAAAATTCGGCATAATAGTTTTCCAGATCGACCATGGGGCAAAGCGTAAAAGATTGGTATCCATTTCATTTAGGTGGATGGTGTTTTTTAGCCATTAGATAGAGAAATATATCGCGATATCCTTAATTATTGAAAAACAATGCTTAGGGAACTTACAAGCACTCGATTTTGCATTGAAACTCAGGCTGCCTACTGAAGAAGAAATAATTTAGTCACTCGGTTACATGCAAAAGTACGTCAACATTGCCTCGTTACTGGTTTAATTCTACAAAGGTTGTTTTGACAGCACGAGATGCACCCTAGAAGCGTTGGCTGCTTGAAGAGAAGTTAAAGGGCAACTCCGGTCGAACACGAAACAAAAATACTTGACTGGAAACGCTTTAGTGGCATGAAATATGGTCACAGCCGAAATATCACATCAAAGTGAACCCGGGTGCTCAACTAAAATCAATTTTAAAGACGCAACCAGCTGCTCTTTAGCTAGCGGCAAACGGGTTAGCTTTTAGTAAAGAAACACCGGCGCAGCACCCTTAAAAAGTCAAGTCGCGGTGGAGCTGTGGTCGATTGGTTGTGCCACTTACCACAGCACTCTTGCGACGTCACGTCACGACCGTACGGCTGATGACCAGGGTTTGCCATCCCCCTAGCAGATAGTTCCGGTTTTTCCGTAGACGCCCGAGACCAAACTTTGAGCCCGTGATATTTATAAAACTACACACAACATTGAAAACAAAATTATACCTTGTAACTCAGGGACACTGGTTTTGTTGAAAACAGTCGTAATCGTAGATGCAAAATATTCACCGGAGTTATGCCCCTCAAGATTAGCAAAATATTCGACTTCTTTTTCTACATCACACGAGGTTTATTATATTATTATCGCACACACAAAATCCATAGTAGGATGGCGACCGTTTCAAGATTTCGGCCTTCGAGGCGTGGGGCTTTATAGAAAGCCTACCGCATTTGTTTTCAGTGACTCATTAGTCAGTATGAATTCCCGGATGCTAGGTGCCACACACTTTTATAATTAGTTTGAACAATACAACATTCAATATAAATATATCAACATTGGGACAAGCAACTAAAAAAAAAAAAAAGACAGAGCCACATAACTCTAAAACACGAAATCTACTGGATCCCGAACAAAACAGTTTGTGTTTTGTTTGGGCTCAATCATAAGCAGTCCGAGAAGTCTCTCACTGGAAACCATTGCTATGTATTTAAACGAGGAGGCACTCCATACTTAGTCATTTGAGAGAAGTACGGAACGTATTACCTATTTATATATTTATTAATTTAGAGAACTCTAAGGCCCCAAGGAGCGTTATATGGGGGCATTCCTATAAAATTAGTCAGACCAATTATGCAGCGATTTGATGAGTACTGCATTATATTGTTAACGTTTTTAATGAATCGGTTATTTTTTTAGTAAAATTTCACTTCAATTAAATATTGTGAGTGAGGATGGTTCTGAAGCCTACTTTTTATAAATATGAACTGGCACTCAACTTTTGAGGTTCATTTTTATTCTTTCATACGTAATTTAATTAAACATTTCGATTAAATTTATTACTAGACAACTAAAACTATTACGCGTTTTGCAATAGAATAGCATAGACCACTGGCAGACGCGGCTCACAAATATCGTTCTAAAGTGCCCTCTCTAAAATGTACACTTAAAACGTGGGCTGACGTACCGTGTGTATGAGTTAGGCGTTTTTGTTTTAGCGGACCATGTGATACCGTGGGCCTCCGGCGTCTGCTTATTTGTCCAATCCCAAAGAATCGTAAAATTTGCGGAACCTGGTGGATCATTGGTGACCGTGCTGTGGTAGCATTGATATGTGATGATCGGCCTGGTTTTCATATCCTTGAGACAAAAGAATACTAAGTAGAGAACATATTATTCGCACTGTATAAACCACTTATTAGTATGTCATAACATATGCCAGAGCATCTCCTTGGGACGGCAAGCAATGTATAATACCAGTTGTATTCATATGAGCTAACTGGTCTCAGAGATCTATGAGATCTGAGAGACAGTGAGTTGTTTGCTTCGTTCACTATGTTCTCGGCCGGCCAACAGACGTCGTGCCATGCAGCCTGCCTTTCATAAGCATCTGCGGTTCGCCCCAACTCCATTTTCCTCAATTTGTAACAGCATTCAAAGATTGTAACCTAAAATAAGCACTCAACCCCTTGTCATGCATTTTTGGCCAGGTATGTAGAAAAATAAATGGCGAGCTGCTTACTCTTACCAAATGCACAAGTATAAAAAAGTGTTGTTTTGATAAGTTTATCTGGTAACCTTATTCTTGAAAAAGCGTCCGAAATGCTATTATTTGTCGTTTATATTTTTAATAGCAAAGTAAATAAAATGTTGAAACTACACTTCGAAATAGACCCGAAATACCTTAATATCTTGACCGGGTTATGTAATTGCTATTTTACAACTTTGCTGTGTACTATAGTGCTTCTGAGATTAGATGTTTATCATTTTACGTAATAATTGTCACTATCCTGCAGCAACATTAAATCAGAAGCTGTGTGGGATTTCTTGAAACGCAGTAAAATCTAGAAAACATTTTGTTACATTTCTCATGGCATGTTAACACTAGATTACATTAAGAAATATGTTCCCAAAATGTTCTCAAGTCGAATATATGCTAATGTAGGGGAAGTTTACTCTAGGTACCGTTTTATTCACACTATTTGCAAATATACAAAGCCAGCTTTCTGTGAAGCATCTGGTACCTACGCTGATCAACAGCCCGTTTGGCTCCTGACCATTTTTTCAAAATTCTTGTCACTACAATATAACTAAATTTCTGAATTTCAAGACCCCTATGGTTCCCGTATCTAGGTGAGAAAATCTACGTGAAAAACACAGTTTCAATTAACTTTTCAGTGCTTATCTACGAATCAAAATTCAGACTTCATAATAGGCCGATGTCGCCACGCGAACTGCGCAAGTGCCCGCATTCCGGAAGTAATGCTGCCGCCATGCTACTTGTAGTCATTCCTTTCCGGCTTCCCGGCGACATAGGACTGCGCGTAGTACATCATTGTAGATTATTGTGTGGGACGCCCCGGTATCAGCTTGATTCTCCTGCATGTGTGCACTTCATAAGACTGTGTTGTTTGTGATGCCTTAGTTTGTCAGCAAGCGCCGAAAAGCAGATACAATCGTCTTGTCGTCTGCTTCGCCGTCGTCTGCTTCTTCGTCGCCGTGAACGCGTGAGCACAGTGCCATTCACACGGGAAAAAAACAACGGCGCCAATACTCGAGCATACCGGCTGCTCGGACGTTTCAATTAACTCAGAAACAAGTGAGCATCTAGTGCAATGGCAAAGAACAAGAAAATTCGAGCTACCAGCGGCTCGATGTAAAACTGCTGAACAGCGTCAAATGTGTGCGAAAAACTGAGCTTGGTAATGCTCGGTCTTGTGCCTAACGTTTATTAAAGAATAAAGTAAGAGGAGCTAAAGAGACTTTCTTGATGAGCGATAGTTTTCTAAAAGGTGTTCCATTCTGGCTGACAGCCTGTGTATTCGGTTTTATTTTGCTTGCTGAAGCTCCGAACATAACAGTCGCCCAATTGGGCAAGCTTTTTTCTGTGGGTTTGATTGATGTTAATGCTAAATGGATAAGTAGCGTCAGCCTAATAGCCCACCATAAAATAGAGGAGGTTCGTTTGTTACATTGTTGGTGGTAGGTGTTGCATTTCTAAATTGCATTATGTGGTTTTTCCACGTTTGTATAAAAAGAAGTTGTAGGTGTTGCAGAAAATTGTAGTACCTATACCATAATAAACACAGAGGGTGTAATTTTGGTAGTGAACGTCATGAGCACAAACTTTTCAAAGTTAATTTTTATCTGCCATATCTAGCTCCAATTAAGAAATAATAAAAATGAGTCATTTATTTAGCATGGCGTAATCATATACGGAAGCGATTTCATTATATAAACCGCGATCATTAACATAAAGGCGAGTCTTAATAGGTATATGGTCAACATTGTCAATAATATGAAGCAAAAACAAAAGTGGTCCTAAAACCGAACCCTGCGCGACACCAGAGCCAATAGAGACGTTGGTAGAATAAACATCACCATATGAAACAAACTGAGATCTATCTTTTAGGTAATCAGCGATCCAATTTATCAGTGATGCGTTTTTCTTATCATTTGCAGTTTTTGAAGAAGTTTAGAAAGTGGCCCTTTATCGAAAGCCTTTAAATAGTCAATAAAGATGAAATTGCATCTAGGTGCCCTCTTTTAACTAAGGCAAAATTAATTTTATGTGTAAATTCTAGTAGCTGGGTAGAGGTAGAGCAGCCAGGACGAAAGCCATGTGCTGGGGGATAAAGAACCGAATTAGCATCGAGGTGCTCAAATATATGTTTATGAACTTGTGTGTTCAAGGAGCTTGTAAGAATAGGATGTTAGCAGAGGAAAGTTAGTAATCACTTGCTTGCTACCGTATTTAAATAGGGAAATAATTTTAGTTGTTTTCCATAGTCGAGATACGGTTGCACTAGAAACGGATTTTTCAAAAATTACAAATAAGTACTTTGGAGCTCAAAGAGAAAAACGGTGAATAAAAAAATTGGGAGTCTCTTCAGGTCCAAGGCTTTGTTTTACAATCGACCTTTAGGAGTATTAGGAGTAGATTTAGAGCACCAGGTACACTAATGCTAACATCCGATAAAACCGAGCACCGCCAAAGCTGAAATCTGGAACGTAATTATCGCAACTAAATACCAAATTAAAGGAGAACCAGCAGAAATATTCTTCCGCCTGGCGGAAAGTCCTCCTCGCCCTCTTTCTTTCTTTTATTGTAGCACGGCGAGGCGAGGGGAAAGGTCCCCTTTTGCGCCGGCTTCTTCTGAGAGAATAAGCCGAGAAAATCCCCATTCTGAGCGACGGGCGATGGGTGCGGCAGCAGCGACCTCGTGAGTTACAGGTAGCTTCAGCTCCTATCGCGTAATCTGCCCCATTTTTTGGCGCTCACCAAGCCTAGCCCCTCGGGTGTAGGTTTTACGGGGCTGCAAGGCTGCGCCCGCGCAATCACCGAATTTCAGCTGTCGAAGGTCTTCGGTTTAGCCCGCGGCAAAGTAAACGCATACTTGAGAGCTGCGATCCATAACCGCACCCATTGAAAAAACGTTTCATAGATATTTTCGGTTGATCAACGAGCTCAAAACGCATGCGCGAGAAGTGGTGACTTGAATATGTAAGTATGACTTACATCTTCACAAAACATTTCATCTTCAAAAAAAAAAAAAAAAAAAAACGGCTTATCACGCTCAAATCTGCCTCAAACTAGGATCGATGGAAAAGAAAACGATGTACCAGGCGCGGGCATCTTGTAGAAGGTCTCTGTTTTCTAGCAGCGAGCACAAATTATTGGAGAACTTTAGCAGACTATGTTTTCAGGCCACGCTATATTTAGCGGGAGCTCGCGCTGCCACTTCGATGCATTCTCTGAAGCGCGCGCCTGAAGTGGCAGCGGGACTTTGAAAACGATTTACTAAAATGCCCTGTTGGGTGCCTAACTCGCAGAACATGATGGCCAGCAAAATGTACGAAATTTATATTTACACATTCCCGACAACCACCTGTCGTGAGAGGACATCAAGGGTGGATCTCAATTTTAGAAAGTTTTAGTGGGTCGCTTTTAGCCACTTAGATTACCGTACGGTCTCTACCCCACAACGAAATGTAAGCTAGACTCGCTCTTTACATTCTTCATTGAGTGCGGCTATGGAGCGGAGGACAACATTAAAATCCTTTTTGGCGAGTCTAGCGTGTTGTGTTATGGTTCAACGTTGCTTGTATTGGTACCATAGCACGGGCCGCCACTTCTAGGTATTTGTGGTGTCTCAAAGAAACTAAAGCAAAAGCAGACAATTTTTTTAACGTGACACAGAATTGTATTTAACATTGTAAAAAACTTTTAGGTACCCTGCGCCACGCCCTTAGCAAAAACAAACTATCGCCGGTGTTTCCCACCTTTTTTTTTCTTCTTAGAAGTGAATGATGTTCAGGAAACTGTTAATGCGAGGATCCAACCTAAGCGGTAGATTTTAGTGCGAGCCAATACATTGCTGGGGAAAATAGCAAGAAGCGCCGGTGTCGTGTTTGCGTTAACACTGTCGCGTAATGTACGCATACCGCTGCACAATCAACGCTAACGGAGTGAATCAGTAAATTTGGTGGCCCCCCAAAAAAGTGGTTTTATTTTGTTTTGTTTTTATGGTTGAAAGGTTGTTATTTTTATACAAGCGATTCGGTAAAGAGTGCTTCCATTGGGCACCAACTTATGTGGCATCGATTTGTTCTTATGCGCTAAATTCTGCATGGCCCTTGCGTAAAAATATCAATATTGCGTTCGTGCTAGTTGTTTCACGCACAGTAATAAGACCAGTTCATTCCTCGAACATTTAAACTAGGCCTTTCTTACGCCAAATGGACATTTTGCGAGTACGCTTTATTTCTGATGGTTCATAGAATAATTCTACGTTGTTTATTTAGAGGAAAGGAAGTAGTGGTGGGGGGAGGCGGAATTGAATACAAAAGATGACTCTAGGGAACCTCGAACTTTGTAAATATTGCGCACACCCTATAATTCTGAGTTAATTGCATAACTTTTGCTTTGTCTGTTTCAGAATTTGTTAACAGTCGCGCTAAAGGCCAAGATGAGCGACAAGTCAGATTTCCCTGTTTACTTGAGCAAGAAGCGTATGCGAGAGGGGGGGGGGGGGGGGGGGGGGACTGAAAAAGCATACGAGTGTAACCGTAGCAATCTCCAACCAAGCCTGAACCTCACTTTTTCTGAAACCGCGGAGCTGACTGCTTTCGACGACTTGATAAAACAAGCCAAAGCCGTTAATAAGTGTGACTCGTTGTCAGCTGTGATAATCAAGGCGCTGCGACGATTTCTTGAAACCTTTCATCTATGAAAACAAATTGTGCAATAAATCCATTGCCATATTATGCTTGCGCTGATCTTGTAGCGATATGCATGCAATACGTGTCACTGTTAGCCCGAACGCGACATCGGCGCTTTTTACTATTTCCGCCAGCAACAGGTATTTTCTAGCACTGAGCTCTGCCACTTAGGTGGATAGTCGCATATCAGTTTTCTAAACATCATTCACTTTTAAGAAAACAAAATGAGAAAGGCCGGCGATAGTTTGTCCGTGCTAACTGTGTGGCAGTATACCTAAAATGTCTTTGCAATGACAAATTACAAATGCGTTTCATGTCAAAACAAGATCGGCTACATTTTTTTAATTTTTTTTTTATTTTTAATGATTCAAAACTACTTTAAAGGGGCAGCATGTGCTATAGCACCGATTTAAGCAACGTTGAATTATAACACGACACGCTTCGATAGCCGCACTGAATAAAGAATGCTCTCAGAAAGGGTATAGCTTATATATTGTTGTAGGGTACGGTTATCCAAGAGCTAAAAACGATCCACTAAAACTTCTTAGTATCGACACACACCATTGCTGCCTTCTCACTTCATGTGGTTGTTGGCATGCGTAAATATAAATGTCATCTACATTCGTTGGCCATCATGTAGTGTGAGTTACGCACACAATAATTCGTGCTCGCTGCTAAAAAACAGAGACCTTCTACGAGATGCCCGCGCCCCGGTATATCGTTTTCTTTTCCTTCGATTCCAATTTGAGGCAGGTTTGAGCGTGATAAGCCGTTTTTTTTGAAGGTGGAATGTTTTGTGAAGATGTAAGTCATCCTTACATGTTCAAGTCACCACACCTCGCGCATGTGTTTTGAGCTCCTTGATCAACCGAAAATATCTATGAAACGTTCCTTCAATGGGTGCGGGGATGCATCGTAGCTCCCAAGTATGCGTTTATTTTGCCACGGGCTAAACTAAAGAACTTCGACAGCTCAAATTCGGTGGCTGCGAGGGCGCAGCCTTGCAGCTCCGTGAAACCTACACCCGAGGGGCTAGGCTTGGCGAGAGCCAAAAAATAGAGCAGATTACATGATAGGAGCTGAAGATACCCGTAAGTCACGAGGTCGCTGCTGCCGCAACCATCGCCCGTCGCTCAGAATGGGGATTTTCTCGGCTTATCCTCTCAGAAGAAGCCGGCGCAAAAGGGGACCGTTCCCTTCGCCTCGCCGTGCTACAATACAAGAAGAAAGAGGGCGAGGAGGACTTTCCGCCAGGCGGAAGAATATTTCTGCTGGTCCCCCTTTAAAGTATTCGTTAAAATAGTTAGCAAGCACTGCTTGTTCACTAACACATTCACCGTGTATAATCAGGCTTTATGACCTATTACATTTTTGGGAGGATAGACCTCCAGAATTAGGCAAGATTTGATTTTATCTATTCAGACAGAGTTACATTAAAATATTTGGTTTACGTTTTTCACACGTTTCCCTTTAAAGTCGTCTCTAGACCCCCAAACAAAGCGTTATCAGCCGAGGCTAGATTGCTTTCCGTAGAACATTTTATTTTTGTTTTCCGCATAAACTGCAAGATCGCTCTCAAAATCCAGGGGCAAAGTATTTTTTCTCTTTTTTGTGACTGGTTCAGAATTGTTGGTAGATTTATCTACAAGACAGTTGAAATGACTAAGTAGCGCGTCGACATCTGCGCCTTTCTCTTTGTACAAAAGTTATCAAAACAAAAATGCTCTCCGATACGGCTAAAACGGACACCGATATAAAAGTAAATGAATTTCAAACTTTTCGTTTTCAGCGGGGATTCTTTTATGCAAGCTACTTTAATATATTTATCTGCCGAAGAAAGCATCACTGGCTCGTTATCTGCATGATCAGGGTCGACCTATTTCAGATGGTACATATTTGGGTCCAACGAGGAATTTGAATCAGTACCCGGATGGAGTTTCAGAGGATGCCCTACCAAACGGATATTCGTATTTAACGAGTGCCCGAATGAAACGGGTGCCTTTATCAAACGGGGGCCTGTATCAAATGGTTACCGTTATCTAACGGTTACCCTTATCAAACGGTTACTAGTATCAAACGGTTACCCGTATCAAACGGTTGCCTGTATCAAAAAGGCGCCCATATTAAATGGGTACTTGTATCGCGTAATGTCATATGACCTGATCGAATCAACCAGTTTTTGCAACCCGTTCGAATTCCAAACGGTATTTTTCTGTATGGCTCGGTTGTGCTTTTTAACCAGTTCGCTTGACCCTCCTATGATGCGTTCCAATGTTGACAGATCTTCCTGTTGAGAAATATAATGCTGTCAGCGTACTCAGCTGAGGCTTCGGTTTGTGGGGCATAATTTGGAGAATTTTTGCAGACAGAGAAGTAACGTTACCATACCTCGTAAAACTGTTCTGTCAGCTCTTTTGTGTCGCTTGATCCGCAATAATGGAGGACAAACGATGAACAGAAGATCAGCGGTGTTATTAATTTCTTTGTTTGCATGGCTAAAATATTTCTGAAGAATAGGTCGTGTTAGCATATCAAAAATGTATCATAATGTTTTGTGCACAGGTTACTTCCAAAATGCGCCTAAAACAACATTAAAACGCCAAGCCCTATAATTTGGTCATTCATCTTCATGAAAAGGTTATTCACACACATTATAAAGCTGGCATAATTCGTTGTGAAGATAACTCGACAAAATGGCTCTACAGTACCACTCCAAGTAAATTTTCTAATAATAGAGAAGACAAAACATGTTCTTAATTTCGACACCTCTTAGATTATAACTTACTAAATGATTGAGCAAGTTGATAGATTCAGGATACGCATATTCAACAACATTTATGTTAATTTTTACAGCTCGCGTTTCACACGGACATGGTACAGTCGGTCCATAAACACAATTCGTGTAGAACAAAATGCAGAAGTTCATCCGTGGACATACGGGTATATTGACTTCAATCACTCTTTATAACTTTCTATGGTTAAAATGTTTCTAAATGAAGTATATATTTGAGGTGAGGATGCTTCGATCTTTTTAATGCTTTGTTTTACTCTCAGAATTTATCTAATAAACAACCTTTATTAAAAGCAGTCTAAACTTAAAAGTTACAAGCACTGGCTCATTTTCTCTTTTTACTGCCTTAGCATTGTAGCGACGTATATCACCGCCGGTTTTTAAACGAATAGTGGCATGCATGTGTAAATCGTAGACAATCGCGCCTACGCAAGCTTATATATCACCAAACAGAATGTGGAAGTACGGCACTGAAGCCAATTTCTACTTATCCAGAGTGTGTCGATCGAGCAAACCTAGTAGCTTTCGTATCCGCTGTCGATTCGCTGGGTTTGTCGTATTCGCTTTTGTTTGATTAATGTTAAGATTACAAGAACGTTTTTAGTAGCATTTTGATTTAGGTAGCTTCAAGGCGGCAATTAATGATTTTATTGAGAGCAGGTTTTATACACTTGATAGAGGGTATTTAACAATTTACGCGACCATTAAAATACCACGCTTGGAACGAAACTCTTGATACATTTTACAGCAAGTCGCTGTAAAATGTAAAATTGTCGTATAGCAACACGTTTACGTATACAAACAATCGACCACAGAACGTGCATCGACCTCACGTTTAGCAAGAACGTAATCCGACGTCAAAATACAACCAATGACGGTTTTTCCTAGCGACCATAAGACAATGATATCATAAGTCACTAAGAATTGAATAAAGACAATTAAACAACGAAGCCGTGCATCAGTCTTCATTGCAATCATATGTCAATCATATAGATGTAGTACAGTTGTCACAAAGTTGTAGTAAAGATAACAGCTTAATTGTTTCAAATTCCCTTTCTTTCCTAAAACTATTGAAAACTGGAACAGCACTGATGGTGCGACTCGTTCACTTGATTTTGATAAATTTTCGGATGCACTGTAGGTTGTTTTGTGCATACTAGGGAGTGCATACTATCTATAGCCCTTCTATTTTACGATGTGATCCCTTCTATAACCTTTCTAATTTACTTATTGATGTGTCTTTTTAGGGTGTGTTGCATTACTTACGGCTTTTCTTAAGGTCGCAGTATTTTGCAATAAAATAAATAAATACATTTACTGGTCCTCTAACCTCCCGTGAAGTGGATGGGCGCTACAATTTTGTTTGTCTAAATATATTTGTAGCCTCGTTATTCGCTGAACTCCCTCCGTAGTATGAAGCGATTAACTCTCTTTAGTGCTTTGCGAGAAAGTGGTGCATACAATGTATTTACCCCCTCTTCTACAGTGAACAAACTTACGTGTAATTGGCTTTTTTGTTTGAAGTACCTTAGCTTTATTGTATTTTCCGACTGGTCCACTCCCTCCATATCTTATATTTTATTTGTCATATTTGTCCCAACTATTATGAGGTTGGGCATTAGTATCGTTTTGTATAAATAACGAGAGAGAAATCTGACTTTCGAGTTTGAATGTAATGTAGTCAAATTGATTTTTATCGCCCTTTTCTCTAAGCTGCTTTGTACATTGATCTACGGCAGCGTTTATGAACTGCTATATCAGTTTTCCTTTCGTGAAAAGTTAATGTTCCGTTTTACACTTTAAAACTGGCTAACTGTTGCCTATAGCGATGAGGCGCAAGACGAGGTGAAGACGGGGATCGGGAAGGTGAAAGCCGTAGCGACGACTATAAGTCACACTTAAACTTCGCCCCATTTTGTTTGGCAACAAACTCAGTGGCGATATCTATTGTGTAGCCCCGGCACACTTCCGGTTAACGTATATTTCATAATTTTTGTTGTTCATCATAGTTATACTATAAGAGCGAAATAAGACTGACAGGACTATAACTGGCCATTGTCTGAAAATTCCGTGCATATTTGATTTCGCAAATACTGCGAAATGCGCCCTCTAGTTCAGAACCCGAAGGGGTTGGGGGGTATTTGCACACCGGCGCCACCACGTGTAAACATTGTGAGAAAGAGCGAATAGCGCCTATAACTGGGTGATAGTTATGGCGATAGTTATGGACTCTTTTCGCGTTTTAATTAAGACCACTAATACTGGCGAGGAATGGTAAAATGTCGTCCAAACCTATTACGTTTTTTTTTTTGCAGGAAGAAGGGAACTTTGAGGTCGATAATATTGCCATTTAGCACACAATATTTAAACAGGCTATTAGGTGTAGAGTTCATTGCGAGTTTTCCTCTTCGCCGCCGCGTTTTGCGAAGATCGGCTATAAGGAGGAAACTTTAGCCTAGCGTGTCATGCAGCAGTTGACGGAAAATCCACATTGAACAATCTGCTAAAAATTCACTTAAAAATTGTTCGTAATAGTAAGTCTCATAACCTAATAAGTCATCTAACCTCGCAAGCACATAATCTAATGCAACTTGTACGTACTCTGCAGTGTAATGCATATATCTGTAAAATGTCAAGACGATGTAGATATAAGATGTTTTTTCCGGATGAAACAACGTTTTAGGGTCAGTAGCCGACTCAAAATCAATGTTTACAAACCTAAGGTAAATTGTGTTCTAAATTTTATTTCGGTGCTTCGGTCGTATCAAGATGAAATCATTACGCGCTTCAAACATCATTTTTCAGCATTATTATATATGCCATTAAGCACTCTTTACTCTTAACATTTGGTGCAATCCCGAATATTAACAATCTTAACTGTTTTGATGCCTTGAAATTGACATGAAACGTTCTGAACAAACCGCAATTTAAATAAACTTACAAACTTAATTCTGGAGTATCATAATACCAGAGAAACTCGCTACACACTAAACTCAAGGCATTAAATTTCACACAAAATCTGTATCTGCAGTATTTGTAGTGACCCGTTTTCTTACCTATTCCCACGTCGTTTGCTATTTGTATTGTTTTGGCGACCTGAAGACGAACTAAGGTTGACCTGGACAAAAGGAAACATTCATTAGCTCTCAAATTCGTTTATAACGTTTCATGATACCAAAAAAAAATGAAGGTACGAACGACAAAACAAGCTCCTACTTACAGTAACCTGAACCATATAGGCATCAGCGAAAATACTGAGGTTAGAACGCTGTAGAAGCGAATGACGAGAGCTTACAGCTGTGCCTGGCAGGATCACCGCAAATGCGTGCACAAACGAGGCACCGGGAACAACTGCGCGTTCACGGGACCAGCTGGCACAACGTTTCACATTATTTATAATGTTCCGGTATACACGGTCGCAAGTGCGTTTTCGGCTTAGCCTCGGATGGAGCACAAAGGTGAGGCGTACTCACCTTGCAAGCCGGACTTTCGCTGCTCGTAACGAAATATTGCCAGGCGTCACTCGCTGAAGCCGATGTCATTGCGCTTCGAGGGGCTGCCAACAACTAATAATGAAACATACATATGACATCCTCGGCCGCAAAAGTGTACAAGACGATGAAGGAAACAACCAAATCAGTAACAAACACAAAATAAATTGTAATACCTAAAACATCAAAAGCGCTTCCACGAGCGCTCTAAAAACTTCTCTCATACCCTCCTTATCGCCTGCAAGTGTTCCTCCGCAATGCGGAAACAGTCCACTACAGAGGACCACTCTGACGTCTGTGAGGATCGCTGCATACTGCTCACCCTCAAGAAAGACCAGATAGGCTGCACACGCACAAAAACAAAAAACACACACCGGAGAAGACCCAGTAACCATGTGCCAGTCTCAACCCTCGCGTGCCCTTGGCCGCGGCAATGTATTTTTATTCCACAAGCCCACTGCCCTTCTCTGGTTTCACATTAACGTACACCGAATGGAGCACCGCAATATGCCACCCCACAAACGTTACGTGGCGCCATCATCGCTCAAAATGGCAGCACTCAAGGGCCTCTTTTATAGACGTCTATAAGGTGCAGCGCGTCGTATACGACCCATCTGTTGTTAAATTTCACAGTAAGCACGTGTTACATCGCAGTTCGACGAGAGTGCATCGTTTTTTTTTTATACGCTAGCAAATGCACACACAAAGCACTGAATGTGAGCTTGATTCATTTTGGTAAAAGTACCGGGTCACGTCTACAAACCTTTAGGATAATGGCCAATTTGAAGTCATTTGGTTGTACTGAACTATGTAGCGTGTACGGGTGTGAAATCAAAACATATGTGCCCCGCAAGAAGCATGGCAAGTCAGAGAAAAAGCAGACCTGAAAGCGGTGTGCGAAGCAAAGATGTCTGGGTAAATATCTGTCTTATCCTAATGTGGCCTAGTCAAACACGATTAAAAATTTTCGAATCATATTACGAGTTCACGGTTTTTAAACTCATACCACTGCATTCACCTCGGAAGCGCATACACTTCAAGTCATATCTTTACGGTTATATTCATATCTGCGGAACTTGCGCACACTGAAGCTCATAATCGTGCAAAAAGGAAGTACACTCTTAGAAAAAAGGGTTTTTATATTCCTCTCTAAAGGAGGAACGTTTTCCAAACCCATGTTCCTTTCGAAAAAGAAAACCTTTCGTCCTCGA